GTTTACCAGTGTGCCCACACATTTGTGCTGCACTGGCTATTTCTGTAGTGTGTGCATTTTTAAACATCAGTGCTTTACTATGAAGTATTTAAGAGCTTCTCAATACTTAATGTTTTTTAAATGCATTTTTGTTCTGTTAGTTTTGTGATCCTTACTCCATCCTAAATATATTTTTCATTTTGATGAATTTTTCTCTTTTTTGTGGTATTGGGGATGGAACCCAGGGCTCTACCACATCCCAGCCTTAAGAAAGGACATTTGAGCCAGTGCTGGTGGATCATGCCTGTAATCCTAGCTACTCAGGAGGATTATGGTTTGAAACCAGCCCTGGGCAAATAGTTTAAGAGACCCTATCTCAAAAAAACTCAGTACAAAAAAGGGCTGGTGAAGTGGCTCAAGTGGTAGAGTGTCTGCCTAGCAAAAGTGTGAGGCCCTGAGTTCAAACCCCAGTACCACACAAAAAAAAAAAAAGAAAGAAAAAAAAGTAAGGACATTTTATGTAGTGCCCTTTTATTTGTCAGTTAGTAGTGATGCTTGAAAATACAAGACCTGAAAAGCTCTAAGAGAATTCTCTTCTCTTTGGTTTTCTTCTATGAAGTAAATGTGAAAATGATTGGTAGTACTGATAGAGAAAAGTAAAAGTCTGTTTTCTTTTGTCACCTTTGTAAGCTCCATAATATTTTTAAATATTTCTTCATACCCCACCTTAATCCAGAAGAGTTCTAGGCAGCTCCTGAACCATTCTGAGATGGGTCTGAAGATGTTCCTACTCTGAAGCAGCTGGAGGTCCTGACTGCCATGTGGATGCTAGGGACCTTGCTCATGCTGGTCCTCTTCAGTTGCATATGTGGTGCCAACATGTTAGCAGTCATTTTGTGACCAGGAGGAGGTGTGATAGTCCACACTGTCCCATTCCATGCTTCACATTTCACATGCCTCGTATAAAAGATGTAGAAAGACAGAAAATAACTCTCCTGCAAATAACGCCTGCTGTTGTCTTCATGCTTGTCCTTTTCAGTATACAGATAGCAGAGGAATTTACATGTGTGTTTTATGCATGCACATAGAAAGATAATCGCAGTGTACAGCTTTAATAAATTTTCTTACATTTAGCATTATATTGTGAACATTTCCTATTAAGTAGTAGTCTTCAACAATTTCTTCAAGTATATCTATTCTGTGATAGCTAGTCAGTGCCAGTATGTGACTATGAAAAAGCACACTCTGGTGAATATTATGAATTAGCTTTTGTTTGTATGTAGACATTTTTAATTGAGGGAATTCCTTTGTATATTTCTCTGTATATGTATGTATGTATGTGTATAATGGAAGTTAGGAGCTGAAGAGATAAGTTTCTTGTGTTCGTTGTTGAAGTGGAGAGGTAGCCAGCCTGGCCACCGCACATGGCAGTGTCTTGCTGAGTGCAACACTGTGTTCATGGTGACAGCTAGCACTTACTGAGCACTCTGCAGATGCACACCCGCTCTAAGCATGTTCTGCTCATGCTGAGTCCTTTCGTCTCCACTACCATCATATAAGGTATGTGTTGTCATTAGCTGTGGTATCGACCACTAAAGTAGTGAAAGATTAGGTTTCTGCCCAGAGTTACACAGCTAATGACAAAAACCAGGACTCACTTGTCATTTGTTTTTATTTGGACACACACACACACACACAGAATACCTGCTGTTAGAATCTTTGTTACTAGTTTTGTTTGATTTAGAAAAACAGAGCAGCAAAATAAATTAGGCCACTAATGGTGTAAAAAAATGAAATTGATGGAACAACTGGTTAAGCTAGCATCTTAGGTACCACAGACTGTCTGTTTGTCCTGCCAGAGCAGCACCACGTGCCTGGAGGGAACAGACGGACAACTGGCCTCTTCCCGCAGTTGCAACTACCATGCGTAATTCTCAAAAGAAGAATGATAGCAAGCTCACAGGGCCGCATTCTACAGTGGCAAAACTCTTCCTTCTTCCCTCGCTTAGGAGAGGAGATAGCTTAACTCTAAAACTACTGAAATTTCCATAAATGATAGTAACTCTAAAACAACTTTTCTTTCTTAGTCCTTCAGAAATTTAGTTTGATTTAAAAAGTAAACAAAAATTACTTTCCTGCATTTGGATTTTCTTTTTCTTTTTTTTTTTTTTTAGTTTTCAAACCAGAACATTTATTGTGTGACGAGTCATTGAAATTGTCAAGATGAACTGGATGCTACAACAGCTGCCCTCTTGGGTTTAGGTGTTGTACCTTCACGGAATCCATGCCTGAATCTGTGGTAGACAATTTTTAGGTGCCTCCTTTGAGCAGTCACTGTAGTATTTCGTCTCTTAGCCTTGGCACTCCAGTTATACTTTCTCTTGCGCTTGGCAGGGTAGCCACATTTGCCACACGTCAACTTCTGAAGGTGGTAGGCCTTAGAACCACAGTGGTGGCACTACATGTGCGTCTTATTATGACGCTTTCCAAAGGATAACATGCCCTTTGTCATCTTGCTCTGCCGCCCCTGCATTTGGATTTTCATAAATTCAATCTATGGTCTTTTTAATTAAAAAATAATTGCAAAGCCAGGTAAAGTCAGATGTGCCTGTAATCCCAGCACTGAGGAGGCTGAGGTAGGATGAGGGAGAGTTCCAGGCTAGCCTGGGCTATGCAGTGAGACCCTGTCTTTACAAAACAAAAGCAGAAAAAAAAGTTACTGCAAAACCAGGAATTAAAGCCACTTAGTCTGCCTGCAGTGTCCCTGCTCTCACCCCTCCCTAAAAAGCCCCAATAAGTGCGAGGTACGTGTGTAAGTGTTCAATAAACACCAGGCATTGTCACCATTGCTCCTGCTGCAAAGCCATATGACCCAGGTGTTATTTTCATTCCAGTGTTTTTGGGTTTTGGAAAGCTAATTTAGTGCATACACTCTGTTTTATATGGTATCCTGTTAGGGTCTGCAGCAGTACTCCGTAAGCAAGTGTTAAGCGTGCTTATCTTTACTCCAGGTAAGGTTTAGTGGCTTGGGGTCACTGCATTCTGTCAAGTGAGCTATGAAACACTTGGGCTTTTAGGTTGCAGCCAAAGGTTCATGGACCTGAGTAAAACTGCGTAGGCTCCTGGCATTTGAATACCCAGTATACGTTGGTGGGAATTGCTACTGCTACGAATGATGTTCGTGGTCATTGTACACTGGTGCAAATAGGGACGTGGTGAGCTACCTGGGTGACGTGCTTTTCTCACATCGTGATTTGAGACGGGAAGGGCACCCAAGTGTTGGAGTCTTCCAACCTTTCCTCCCTACATCAGTCTTGGGTGTCTTCTGTTTATCCTGAATGCAGGCTTGCCTGGCTTAGCACTCCTGTTCTGTCCACGTGCATTCCTGTGCGCAACATTTATTTCAGTTTACAGAGTGGTTTACCTTGTATTTTCACCCTTTCAGAGATCTTAGTCAAACAGTGTTTAAATTTTCCCTTGCTTGTATTACAGCCCCCTTTTGTTAAATTTGAGCCTATTTGGAGAACAATTAAAGTAACCCATCTTTACCCCCAGATATGAGGAGCTAAGACTTAAAAGCCTGAGGTGATTGCATTTGAAATGGATATACTTCCTCTTTCCTCCCACCATCTTAATTAATCACAGTCATTACAACTGCTGTGACTGTATTATACACTGATTTTAATGATATGGGCAGGTTACTTTTACTACAAAATGATCCAAATGTAACTTTATTAAATGCCCTCGATAGGCACATTTGCTACTGAGATAAAGCTTTAAAATGATCTTGCCACTTGAATTTAAACCTGTTTTCTGCCCTTAGAAGTATCCCCTTGAACCTCTTGAAGATCTGTACACATTTTGTTGTCTCCTACATGTCAGGTAGTGTGTTAATCAACTTCCCATTGCTGTAACAAAATCCCTGAGACAATCAGTTTATGAAGAGAGGAGGTTTATTTTAGCTCATGGGTTTGGAGGTTTCAGTGCATGATCCCTTGGCCCTGTGGTGAGACAGTAGTATATCATGGTAGGAGCCTGTGGTAGAGCAACACCATTCACCTCATGTTTGGGACACAAAACGGAAGAAAAAAGGCCTTTGGGTCCTACACACCCCTTCAAAGGCAGGTCCCCAACAGCTTAACAATGTCCAATTAGTATCAACCTCTCAAGGTTTGTGCCACCTCCTGCTAGTGCAGTGTTGGGGACATTGAAGATCCGGACTCCAGCACATAGTGCTCATCCTCCCATCCCTGCCTCTCAATGCCTGCACACATTGTTACTGAATGTTTGCTTTCCTTTCTGAAGCGGCATCTCCTTTTAACAAATCTGAGGGTCCATAGACCCTTGTGCCAGTCACACTGAGACAGAGAAACACACTTAGTCTGTTTGTTGACAGTGGGAATGGGGCCTTAATTCATTTGTACTTAATAGTTTTTTGATCAGTAACTGAAAATATGAAATGCAGACATATCTGTTCTTAAAATTGTTGTTGGAAGGGATGGATAAGGTCTAGTTTGTAGAACTGCTAGTCTGAATTGTTCCTAGGAGTTTGGAGGGTAAGCAGGGGCTGTGGCACAGCATCATTTTCAGTTATTTCCTATCGCTTGATCCCCACAGAACACATTTGTTTTGGTAGCTGGCATTCCCTGTAGCATCATGTTGGAATTTGGCATGCACTATTTAATAAAACCTGCTGCTTTCATATTGCATAGTTTGGTCAATTTCTTAGTTACAGTAGATGTTGAGTTTACATTCCAGGGCAGAAAACGTGGAAAGGTGGGTGTGATGTATAATAAGCAGCAGACACAGTGTTCACAAATACAGTTCCAGCTTGGCATACGTTCACTAATGTAACTATTATACCCTCAACATGATTCACGTAGGGTCTAGAATGTCAGCTGTGCTGAAATCATTGATGGTTGGTATTTATTTATCTTTTACAGAGAGGAAAGAGGAAAATGGATGACTGAAAGGAACATTACTTGTCATAATTTAAAATTTATGTTTCCTGTATTTTCTAGGTTGCTGTGGTGAAACTGAAAAATGCAGATAAAGTATTCGCCATGAAAATTTTGAATAAGTGGGAAATGCTGAAAAGAGCTGAGGTAAGAGCTTTATATATTTTGAAAACATTGATGAACATTTAGGTGTTTCTTCATTTTTTTTTTACTATGTCAAACCATGTCACAGTAAAAATCTTTGTGCATGTATATTGGAATAATTTTATGAGTGTACCCATAGTGTAAATTCTTTTTCTTAGTTGTTCCCTTCCTCTCTCCCTCTCCCCCTTTTCTCTCTTTCTTTCCATACTGGGGTTTGAACACAGGGCTTTGCACTTGCTAGGCAGGAGCACTACCACTTGAGCTACAGCCTCCAGCCCTTTTCACTCTGGTTATTTTGGAAGTAGGGTCTCGCTTTTTGCGCAGGGTGGCCTGGACCATGATCTTATTTTAGGCTTCACACCGTTGCTGGGATGACAGGTGAACACCCAACTCTTTTCCTTTGAGATGGGGTTTTGCAAGCTTTTTTTGGCCCAGGCTGGCTTGGAACTGCCATCTCCCAATTTCTGCCTGCCACATAGCTTGAGGTGACAGGTGCTCACTACTATGCCCAGCTATTGGTTGAGTTGGGTCTCATGAACTTTTTTTTGCCCAGGCTGGTCTTGAATTGCAATCTTCCTGATCTCTGCCTCCTAAATAGCTAGATTATAGGTGTTAGCCACTGGCTATAGTGTGAATTCTTAGTAAGATGGGATCAGACTATTAATACATGGAATTATTTCACAAAATCTAACTGTGTGTTAGATTTGGTGTTTGTCAAACAAATTTCAAAGCAAGAGAGAAAATAGTGTATCTGAACTAGTCATGCCACCCAAGCAGGGTATGCCATGTAAAATTTTGAAAGGGTGAGGGGGTGTATATGAAGTGCTTGTAATGAGAGACATTGCTGGGGCAGCCTGGGATACCCTAATTGTGTATACTGTAGTTGAAAAAGTTTTAAGGATTATTTTCACATGAGGGCATTTTCAGGTTGTGTGGACTTTAGAACTTACTCATTCCCTGAATTCAACTGTTTGCTAGTTAAACTCCTGGCCGGGGTAGGTATATAGCTAAACTTTGATAGGTATTGCTTCAAAGCAATCTTCAGACTTGTAGTATGTAAATAGCTCCTTTTTCTCACACATTTACCAATTATTTACATTATCAGATGATTTTTCTTCAATTATATTAAAAACATTTTTTATTGACAAGTTGAAAAATGACACATCTCGTGTTTGGGTTGACTATCAAATATTGTAAAACGGGAGACCTAAATTAACGCTGTGCTGTACAAGGCTCAGTCTTTAGAATTATTACATTTTCAATTTAAAGTTCCACCTGCTTATTTTTGGAAAATGACAAATTTTGACCTTTTTCCTCATCAAAGATTGGAGAAGTAGTCATTATTTGTAAACATTTCTCTGTGATTATGCTCCACGAGTGAGAGAGGTCTTCTCCTAATAAGTGAATCCAAAGTAGATAGTTTCTGTAGTCTTCTCTCTCTGAGCCATGGCTTCTGAGGATGGCGCAGTTTCCATGGCCTTCCTAAGAGGGTTAATTTGGCGAGTGTATTTTCTGAGTGTGCTGAAGAGAGTCATGTGACTGCTTGGCAGAATTATCATTTATTTATGGTCCTTATAAGCTTTGGTTTCAGCAGAGGTAGTCCTGTTCTTTATTCCAATATACCATTAAGGATGAAATTTAAATAATACGTAACTGAATATAGAAAAATGTAAACGTGTGTGTAGTAGTCAGACACAGCACTACGGCCAGCAGAATGTTTGGTTGAATATCTGGTGAGAAAGCGAGTGAGTGGATCCGGGGGGCTCTGTGAGCTCCAGTGACACTCCCCACTCCCACCCAGGCTCATTGCCTTCTTAGAGTCTCAGGTGTCCTGTTCAGAGGAGGGGAATGTCATTGTGCCATTGCAGTGGAGACCGTTGGAGCCTTTCCCATCTGAATCCTCATAACACTTTTATGAGCCCAGGGGATTCACATCATGGTTTGACCAGTATAGATCTAGAATGGGATTTCTCCACAGGGCACCATTGACATTTGGGGCTGGTAATTCTTTGTTCTGGGAGTTGCCCTGTGCAGCATAGGGTATTAGCAGCACCCTTTTGCTGCCTGCTAAGTCCTAATTGTCATAACCAACTGAAGACAATGTGACATTCAACAAAAAAAGTAGACTGTCTTTACAGTACACTGAGTATCTGACACATTAATAAGAATAGCTTAATAGATACGTGTTTATTGGTAAAATCATGATGTATGAAATTTTTTTTAGTATGTTTGTGTGTGTACTTGTGCACTCATGGGTCTGAGGGGTGGTGGTGAGTGGGTGAGGGTGTAATGAAACAAGATTGACCTAGAAAATATTTGCTGAAATTGAGTGGACACAAGAGGACACTCAAGACGTCAAGAGGAGGGGCTTTGTAATATAAGTCTCTCTACTCTTGTAGAGCAGTTTATTATATATTTTTTATTTTTTAAAGTTAATTTTTACTGAGCAGTTTAGCATAGATGAGAACTCACAGTTTAATCTGTTCTTTTTACTAAAGATTTTGGAATTTATTCAGTTTGGAGTCATCAATCAAATGAAACAGTGGTTAAGAATCGAGATGTAATGTCTATAAAATTTTAGATAGGTGTCATGATAAGGTAAAGCCTGGAGAAGGGCATCTCCTAGACTCTGACAGCCCTCACAACCTCTCTTAACATGCTAGCAGGAGACTATAACTTCAGGTCAGTTTAATTATAAAACACAATTTAGCAGTAAGTAGATCCCTGATTTTGTTTTCTCCCTGAAGTTCAATAAAACATACTGTCATAGATTTTAATACTCTGACAGATGAGGCACCCATTTCAGTTAGTTTTAGGTTTACTTGTTTTAGTGTTTTCTCAACTATTGCTATTTAATGCCTGGCTACAGAAGTTTGCCAATTAAATGTTATGGATATATGTGGGAAATATTAAGGCTGAGTGTATAACAGTGCTAATTGTTCTGTGTTCATGGGCATTTATCTTGTGGGAAATAATAATTAAGCACCTACTGTGTACAGAATAATGTGTGATGTTTTCAGGGTATATGCAATATGATTGGCATAGCCATTAAAAACTATTCTGGGAATCTTTATCCCATTTCCTACATGAGGAACAGGAAATGCCTCTCTCTCTCTCCTACCCCTTATCTATACTTTATTCTATTATGCTAAAATAAATCCTTGCTAAAACTTCAAAAAGAATTAGGTTGGTTTCTGTGTAGTGTTATGGGAAGATGTCCAAATGCATTGTCACTTGGGAAAATGGACAACTTACACAATACCGTAATCTTGTTTGTGTAAAGAAAAAATAAGAAGAGTGGGACACCAATGAATTTATAATACCTCTGTGTATATTTGCTTATGTATACTCAGATTTTCTGAGCATAGACTCCACAAACAATTGTGTTGGTAACGATTTTAGATAGTGAAATTGTTGGCTTGTCTTACTGGTGAGACTTTTTATCTTTTACTTTTCAGTACTTTTTAAAGTTTTGGGTATAGTATTTTTTTTCTTTTTAATTAAAAAATTAAAGGTTACATATTTCAGAATTATAATGTATTATATACAAATCTATTTTAATCATACATTTCTAAGATTTTCCAGGGCATAGTTTTATAATAGGGGAAATATATTCTCGGAATAAATTAAAACTTCAACAAATCAGTAAGAAAAAAAAAATCTATTAGAGCAAATGAGCAAAGGAAGTGAACATTGAAAGTTCAGATGTCCAGTAAGTGTGGATAAAGTTAATCTATACCTGTAATTAGGAATATGTTAATTAAAAGAATGATGAGGTATAATTTTATAGGAATATGTTAATTAAAAGAATGATGAAGTATAATTTTATAGCCATCATATCGGCAGCCACTTACAAGTCTAGTATTGCCATGTGCAATTGAGAATGTGGGAAAGGGGGAGAATTTGTGCACTGTGGTGGGGATGGTAATTGACACAGCACTTAGGGAAACACGATGGCTCTCTGGCAAATTGTAAATTTGCTCATATCTAGCAACTGTACTAACACTTTTATAAGTGCATATGGTGGAGAAACTCACACACCTGTACAAACATATTCATTGTAACATTGTGATTACACAAAATTGGAAATTACTTACATTTGCATGGTTGGGGTTGCATAAATAAATTCCATAGCAGTTAAAAGGGAAACGATCTGTATTGAATAAAAAGTAATTAAGATGCAAAAGGATAGATAAAATTATAACATTAATGTACATTTTCAGAACAATTCAGTTCTGTTTTTGGGATGTATGTAATGTGTGGGCATAGAGTTTACTCTGTCTTCGGAGTAGTGATTACATCAGGGGAGGAAGGGATGAGAATGGGGTAGGAATAGGAAGCCTACAACTGTGTTTTGTTCCTTTAAAAATAAAAAGATCTTAAGTAAATGTGGCAAAATGTGGACATTTATATTATTTGGATGGTAGGTTGACCTATGGTTATTTTGTAGATTTTTCTGATTTTTTTGAAATATGACAGTATTTTTAATATGAAATATTTTCTTATTACTTCTAGGCTATTCTAGTAACTGCTTTCTGCTTTGAAACTTGAGTCATTGGAAAGTCATCTAAGAGTGAACATACTTTTTTTCCAGAGTAGAAGTCTATAATGCACACCGTAGGCATGCTGCTTGCATGGTGTACTCCCTAGCTTCACATTAAGTGCTCTCCTTCCTTTTCAGACAGCGTGTTTTCGAGAAGAGAGGGACGTGCTGGTGAATGGGGACAGTAAGTGGATCACAGCCTTGCACTACGCTTTCCAGGATGACAACAACTTAGTAAGAATCCTTTTCATATGTGTCTGTATCCTTCCTCATTTATTGCTGGCAGAATTTAGAGTTATTTTAAGTAGCCTTTAAATGTAGATTTTAGGTAGGAAATCACTGATTTTACAGAATACAAGTTGTGCATTTGATGAGACTATTTTTTCTCTCTGGGTGATTCGATACCTTTCCACTGGGATTGTTTATGCTTTTTAATAAGCAAATCAAAATTGAATCCCAACTGGTTAAGTTTCTGTCAGTTAAAATCTACAGAGAGTATTAGGAGACTTGTTTTCTTGATTTTCCCAATATATTTTATTCATAGTGTACTGCTTTTAAATCTTCTATGTCTTTTTCAAGGTGGCCCTTGTGCTACACTAAGTAGAGCCACGCTTATGCCGACATGAGCCACTTCACAAAAGAACGTATTAGAAGTTCTGCCAGCTGAGAATGGATGAGAATGAAAAGAGGAACTAGGAGTAGGAAATGCGGCAAAGGTTAAATGAGGGTGAATGCTCGATTGTGCACCTGACTCCAGTGCCGGGTGTGCTGTTCAGTCTGATTTGTATAGTTGTAGCATTTGACCTGAGGATTAATGCTTCTTCACTGATTGGGTTAGAGTAAAAGTTCCATCATGTTTGGAGGAGGACTAAACGCTGCGGTGGTACAATCCCGTGCCATCTGCCATTGTTCTTTAGTTTAGAGAAGCTTTGTCATGCCACCCTCAAAAGCCAGAAGTCTTGGGTCTCATCACAGATATTCTTTTGAACAGTTATAAAATATTAGAAAATAAAATGACTGAGAAGCACAGAAAACCTAGTTTTAGATATAAAAAATTTTTTAAATAAATAAATTTTATTAAACATAGTTATTTTCTGAAATAACATTTAACTTTTTTATCTCATAACTAGCCAAATATGATTTCCTGTCCTGTATAATTCAATGGAGATGTGGTAGATAATTTGACATTAATTTCCAACCTGCCTAGATATTGCTACATCAAACTAGTTGTATTAATAAATAACAATTTTAAATTAATTAAAAATGTAGTCAGGGCAAATGTGCCTTTTATATATATGATTTAATTAATGGTATTAAGGTGTGATTAGAACTTTTTTCCCTTAAGAAAACTCATTCTAGACAAAGTTGTTTAAGTTATGTCAACATTGACACATAATGATCTCTTATCCTTTAGAATGTTATGAATTAGTGACACTTGTCTTCCCCTGTTATTTGTTTGCAGTACTAGCTTTGAACTCAGGGCCTTATGCCCCCATATTTTCTTATTGACAGTTACCTGTTTATCTTATACTTGAGAAAATAAGATAGGAAGCTATTCATAGCAAAAACTTTCTGGTTTTTTTGGTGGTACTAGTAGTTGAACTCAGGTCCTCACACTTGCTGGGCAGGTGTTCTACCACTTGAACCACTCTGCCAGTCCTTTTTGCATTGGCTATTTTTGAGATAGGATCTTGTTTTATTCCTGGGCAGCCTGGTCTGTGATCCTCCTATTTATGCTTACCCACTTGGCCAAAATGACAGGCACCATTGGTTGAGTTAGAGTTTTGTTAACTCCCTCAGCCTGGCCTAGAACCACAGTCCTTCTGATCTCAGCCTTTCAAGTAGCTAGGATTGCAGGTATGAGCCACTGATACTTAACTTAAGATGATTTCTAAAAGCATATCTGCCCTGCTGGGCACCAGTAATCATAGCTACTTGGGAGGCTGAGATTGGGAGGATCAAGGTTTGAGGCCAGCCCAGGCATATAGTTCATGAGACCCCATCTCTAAAAGGATCAGAACAAAATGAACTAGAGGACTGTAGGCATGGTTTAAGCAGTAGAGCACCTGCTTTGTAATCTCAAAGCCCTGAGTTCAAACCCCAGTCTCACAAAAAAAAAAAAAAAAAAAAAAAGGAAGAACAAAGTGTATCTGTCTTGAGAAATATTCCTTCTTGGAGACATAGTTTATTTATTTTGTTATATCCAGGTGTTTTAGCATTATTTCCTTGCAATGTAGCTTTTTAAAAAGAAACTCAGAGTGGAGTGGATGGAGGGAAGAAAAGGGGGCCGGGGGCAGGGGGGAGAGGTAGCCCAAACAATGTATGCACATATGAATAAATGAATAAATAAACAAACAAACAAAAAAGAAACTCAGGGTGGAAATGTTATGGTGTTTATCATACCCATAAATGTTTCTTTTTTTGAATGAAAAGCTTGCTAACAACTCCGTCTGAATACTCAAGTTTGTTTTTGTATTATTTTGGTGCTTAGTCACAATACTCTCTGTGTCATGGACATAGTCAGCTTTATTCATTGAACACTTACTCTTTTATTTGAGTAAAAGAGGCACTAGTCTAAAGATTAACAACGCTGAATTCTGGCTTTCCCACTGTCCAGTGTATATTTGATAGAATCATTTGATTTCTTTTGCCTCTGATGATGTAGCCACAAAGCAGAAATAACAGCTGTGGTCCCAACCTTCAGCACTGGCCCCGTGTATAACCTGCCTATGTCCTCTGGTTCCCGCTTCCTTGAGCAAAGGAAGGCCACTTTCACTCGAGTAGGAGTTTTCTCAAAGCTCTACTCTCATCGTTTTCCTTGTGTCTGTGTGTCCACATTTGTCCCTGTTCTTACCGGTTTAGATGAGATGTATCTTCCTATTTAAGGTTATTCTATAGACCTTGGCCTTTTGCAAAACTTGACTCCACTGATCAATTTCAGTTTGACTGTCTTTTTTCCTTCTACCACAAAGGGGTATGCATAAGAAGTTAGCAAATCTTACCCTCACCTTTCCATTTTATCCTTCTGAGATATCTAATGTTTGCTATATCCTTTTGTATTTTTGTGCTTGGTGTAATTGTATGTCTGTATATGTATGTATATTTAATTCCTTTTCAATAAAAATGGGACCACAGAATATATACTATGATGCAATTTGCTTTTTGAAGGTAGCTGTTTTTTCCTAAGTATCACATGGGCACATATATCAATCATTCTTTTTTTGGCAACTGCATAATACTTCATAAGCCATTATTGATTTACTGATTCCTTTTTAAAAATTTTTTATTGATTTATTCACATGTGTGTACATTGTTTGGGTTAATTCTCCCCCCTGCCCCCTTCCCCCTACTGATTCCTTTTTGATTGCCATTCATAGTGGTTTTGATTTGTTGCATTTGTCTCAGCTGTGAGGTAAATATTCTTGGTTTTGTTTTTTTAGATTCCTGTTTTTTCCTCTATTTTTATTGCTGTGTTGGTGGGGGCATGTCGTGGCATTTACAAAAGTTCTTACAATATTTCAAATATGAAGTCACTCCCTCCACCGTTCTTCTTCATCCTCTGCCCCCCTCAACCCCTCCCACGCTAAATATTCTTGCCCACATTCCTGACATACTGGTGGAATCCAGTCGGTTAAAACTATTGGCATTAACATTTAAATCGTGAACAGATCCGTGTAAACATAGCAAGTAAGCCATTGACTAAGATTTGAAATACAGTTTCCCTATTTTTCAAGGCTTTAAACATATGAAATTAGTTTCTTTGGTTTAATATACCTTTTCTGTTTTTAATTTTTATGTATGGTAATAACAAGAATTTAAATTCTCTCAAGACTTCTTTTATTTTTTGTTTTTGGTGGTACTGGGGTTTGAACTCAGAACCTTGCAAGTACTCTACAGCTCTTTCTGTTTTAGTTATTTTTTAGATAGGGTCTTGTGCTTTTGCCTGGAGTTGGCTTTGGACCTCCATGTAGCTGGGATTGCAGCCATCATGCCTGGCTTGTTCTTTGAAGGATAGGGTCTCTTTTTTTTTTTGGCTGAGGGACCTTGAAACACTATCTTCCCAACTCTATCTCTGAAGTAGCTGAGGTTATAAATATGAGTCACTGCTCCAGGCTTCAGGACTCTTTAAATCATAATGTCAACTCAGTGACAACCATCCTGTAATAAAATCACTGTAATGCCAAGGCATTATAAGTGATATTTAAATGTCTTCTATTTACTCCCCCTCATGTTAGGTGCCACAGTAACTATATGTGTATGTAATAGTTATTACTATTTTTTGCTACCAGGGCTTAAACTCACAGGCCTCTTTGGCAAGCACTCTATCAGTTGAGCCACTCCCCAGACATGTTTAGAAAGCAATATAGAATCTAAGAAAATGCTATGATATCATCTGTCATCTAATAGCCTAGAGGATCCTGTGAACGTTTTGGTGTACTCCTATCTTTTCTTTTTTTAGTGTGCATGCACACACATACCACACAGAGTTCTGTATCTAAAATTGATTGGCTTCTGTTTACATGTACTTGGGAAAAATCCATCCTGATATTTGTACTCTGTCAGAAATGGAAACAGTGTATAAACTGTGGTTTCCAAATGCTGACCCACAGGCTGGTCCTGGTCCAGGGGAAAGTCAGGAGAGCATAGTGACGATGAATGTGGGTGAAGATGGAGATGACTTAAAACCTAAGGCCTGCTCTTCAGTCTCAGTTTTTTCTTTCCAATGTTTTTTTTGAGAATTAAGATGGTCAGTCTTCCACCAAACGTTGATAAAGTTATGGTCCATCGCTTTGCAGAGCACAGCAAAAATAATGATCTTGTGTTCTCTGCACGTTTAAAAATTTTATTTTACTACTATGAAATTTAGAAGTCACAAGACTTTGCAGTGGTGTAAGTCATGGTGACTTTTATGCACTTCTTATTAGCTAGTCACAGAAGTGATTAACCACCGTAAGTATTTGTCCTGGTCCTGCTTGACCTTGGAATACATTAATTTTTACTGGTATTGTTTATTGAATACATTTTGGTTTTTTTGTCCATAGTACCTAGTTATGGATTATTATGTCGGCGGGGATTTGCTTACTCTTCTCAGCAAGTTTGAAGATAGACTGCCTGAAGACATGGCTCGATTTTACCTGGCTGAGATGGTGATAGCGATTGACTCAGTCCACCAGCTACATTATGTGCACAGGTAAGTCCGTCAGTCCTGGATTGCGTCTGGCTGTGACTTACAATGCATTATCTAGAAACACACCCCTATTTCTACCAGATTTATTAATTGTGGTCTTAGGTTCATTTCTCATCAGCTGAAATCCTTTATTTTGAGATGGTTTTAGTACTGAACTTCTTTGTCATTTCCATTATTTGTCAGCATTACTGAGCTGATTTTCCTTACACTACGTGGTATAGAAGATGTCAGTGTCCTCTTCCAGGCAGCACTTCCCAGGCCCTTCTTAGAAACTCTCCAGCACTAAGATCTACAAACGGTCCCCTTCCCAAGGGGGTGTCAATGCTTAGCCTCCTTACAGTTGCTCCTCACAGGTTGATGCTAGCTGGGCTTCTAGGCCATGAGACCATATTATATACTTTGTTTTTCAAGGGGGGTTGTTGTATAAATATCAAAAGATCTGTTTTTTTAGGGAAGTGGTCATTTTGATGTTCATGGGATAACTTTATTACAAACAGTTTGATAGTGATATATTTAAGATGTGTGTTATTCTAGATAGTTGAGGATGGAATGAAAAGAAAGAAGTAGATCTGCTTATGAGGCTTCTTTTGAATGAAACTTTTTATATAAGATTTTCTTATGCCTATTGACCCTTTCTACATAATGTTTTGAAGGAACGTAGGAAGTCCTCACAAAGTTGGTGAATTATTCATTCCATTGAGAAAAATCTTTGGATATGCAAAATGTGAAAAAAGACACTGAGGAGAAGTAGGTAAAGGGTTAGTACTATGTTACAAAGAAACTAAACCACTGTATTTTGCTTATTTTTGAGACAGTGTCTCATTTTGTATGGAGCCTACACTGGCCAAAACTAATGATCTTCCTGCCTCAGCCACTGGAGTGCTGGGGTAGCAGGTGTGCACCACCATACTTGGTTTTTTTCTCTTTTTAAAAAAATGTTCAAGCCTCAGTACTGTTAAGACAATAAATAAATCAACTAATAAAAAGAATATAGGACTTTGGGCCTCACTAGTTACATTGAAACCCCACCAACTTTTATTTTATTTTACTTTCCTGTTTCATTTCGTTTTAGTTTTTGCAGTGCTGAGGACCAAACCGAGGCCTTGTGAGTGCTGAGCTGCGTGCTCCCCCGTTTTGTACGAGACTCTAGCACGCGTCAGAGTCCCATGGCGGGCTCTGAGAACTGAGGCTGGTGGGTTCACTGTGAACTGGGGATTGACATCTCTGGCTCAGTTGCTGACAGTGCTGCTGTTGGTCCACATTTTGAGATCCACTGCCCTGAAGCAGCAGCTGCTGCTTCTCTAGTTCTGTCAGAGTATGAATGGGGAACAAAAAGAGAAAGTTTTTGTTTTAAGTTGTGATTTTTTTTTTATGCTGAGTAGTTTAATTTGTAATAAAGTTCTGGGACATGGTTGAAGGGAGAATACTTTTCTTTTTGGTGGTGCGGAGGTTTTGAACTCAGGGCTTTGCACTTGCTAAGTGAGTACTCATCACTAGAGTCAAGTCTGAGTGTGGTAGGAGATAGGAGGATTGCAGTCTGAGGTCAGCCTGGGCCAGAGTAAGACCCTGCCTAGAAAATAAACCACAGAAAACAGAAGCCCTGGGTTCAAACCCCAGTACTGCAAAGAAGGAGAAGATTTGTGTTTGGTGATACAAAACATAAGCAACACATAAAAATTAAAATAAATCATTATTTAAGGCAGAATTATAAAAGATGGAATGCACACGGACTTCGCATTATAAATGAGTTATGTAAGCAGATCACATAAGACCAGAGAACTAACAGACTCAGCTCTTACTACCAGCCTCACAGTCATTCACCTCTCAGTCTGTGACATGGCCTTCATCTCTGTCATTTCTTAAAATAACTGTGATTTAAATGTCATCTAAAAATGGATGTTGCTCCACTTTATAGACCAGCCTCAGAGATTCAAGTCGGAAAGTAACCTGGCCTAGATTAAAGTGAAGTCAGCCCGACTCTAGAATTTCTTTTCTTTATACAGTGTCCTTTCCAAGCAGTCCACCTCTCCCCAATCTGCGCAGTCTCTCACATCATGGACATCCCTCACCAGAATGGCAAATTTATTACAGTTGATAAGTTGTTGCTGACAAATCATACTCACCCTAAGCTTGTTGTTTATATTGGGGTTCATTCTGCTGGTTTTGATAATGTAGAATGGCATGTCCACACCGACCTGAAAATCTTCTGTGCTCTTTCTCCCTCCTTCCTGATCTTCTCCTCTAGTTGTGTTTGTCCTACTTGATTCTCTCTGAGCTTCCAGGATCTGTGGTTTGGTATCTGACAGTGAATTTTGGGCAGTTCTCAGGCATTATGGCTTGCTTTAAATACTGCTTTTCTTCTTCTCCTGGCATTTCCATTACATGCATGTTACAACCTTCCTACTGTCCCACAGTCCTCGAGCTGTCTCTTCTGCTACTTTGCAGGCTTGCCTTTGCTTCTTTGTTGCCACGCTCTCGAGCTCAGAGTCTCAGTCCTCAGTGAACACGTCCTTCCACTAATGAACCCACCAAAAGCATGTTCATTTCCGTTGCAGTGTTTTAGATCTCTAGCACTTCTGATTCTTTCTTAGAGTCTTAGAATCTTAGAATGTTCATCTGTCTGCTTATACTGTCTATCTGTTCTTACATAGTGTTTCCTTTTTTCATTAAAGACCTTAACATATTAGCAGTAGTTTAAAACATCCCTCATCTGGTACTGCCAACATTTCTGCCATATTTGACTCTTTTCTCACCTCTTTGCCTTTTAGTATGTCTTATCATTTTTTGTAGAAAGGTAGCTATGATGTACCAGGTAAAGGAATTGGAGTAAATTGTCTTTTAGTGCTGTGCTGTGTGTGTGTGTTAGGGGTAGGGGAGCAGTGTTCTGTGGCAAAGTCTCAGTCTTTTAGCAAGGCTGTGCCACTGGCCTGAGACCACCAGGGCTTCCTGATATTCCCTCTACTCTACCCACTCTGTTTACTTGGGACAGAGAGGCTGGGGAGGGGGGCTGGAGTTGGGTATTTCCCTTCTTTTCTGTAGGTTAGACTCTGGTGAGATGTTTTTCTTAGTGGAGTCATTCTTAAAAATACAGTGCTTTGTGTACTTCAAAGCAGCACAGTATCCTCTCCCCTGCTGGAAGCATGAGAGGTAGTTTTCTCCTGATACTTGCATTGAGGACCTGGTTGAGCTCCTGGTAGTAAAAAACTCCAAAATGTGCAAGGCCTCCCTAGAGATTTAATCTCTCAGATTTGTCTCCAACAATATGCCATCACAGTTAAGGTTTTCTTATCGAGTACTGGTTGCAGGAAGATTTCTGCTTGTGAGTTTTTGCTCTGCTGAGTTGTGATTCTCTGTAATTGTCCATCTGCTGCCTCTCCCAATTCTGGTGGCAAACTGTGCCCATGACCTTTCTTCCTTCATATACCTAAGAAGAGTTGTTGATTTTTGCAATTTGCTCAGGCTTTTATTTGTTCACACACAGTGGTAACTTCAGAGCTCCTTTATTTGCTGGACTGGAAATTGGAAGTCTCCCCTGTAATTTCTTAACATTTAGATTTCAGAACACCAGGCTTTATGATTGAGTTTACAGCAACTTGGAACTTTGTTAAAAAAAAAAAAAAAAGTCTTGTAAAGTTGAAAAAATTCCCAAGGGTACTTATTAAACTGTTAATTGGCATGCTGCTGAAATGCAGACCATTTTCTTATGTTAACGAGCAACCAAGGGTGTCCTGGTGCCGTAAATGCTCATAAGGTCAGTATGACTTCTCACCCACAATTGTCCTAGCGGTCTCTACCTCTTTGGAGGAGGTAGGGAAAGGATGCAATAGGTTGAGGAGAGAGGACATGCAGTATTAATAGAATAGTAACATTGGTGAGTGTGGTTTGGAGGAGTTAGAAGTAATGACTGGCTGATAGATCTGAACTACTTTAAACATTGAGGGTATTAGCTTCCCCAAGTTGATGCAACCCTATCAAAATTCCAGCAACACTTTTTGTAGATAATGACAAATTTATTCTGTAACTTACATGGAAAGGCAGTGGAACTGTAATAGAAGGATTCTGAAAAAGAGTAAGGTAAGCCTGATATTAAGTCTTACTACATTGCTTCCTTAAGCAACATGTTATGGTAATCATAGGGTTGTAAATATGTAGGTCATGGGAAGAGAATGGAGAATGCAGACATAGACTAACATAAATACTCCCAGATGACTGTAACAAGGCTACAAAAGCAGTTAAGTGGAGAAAGATAATCTTCAACAAATGGTGCTAGAATAATAGACAGAAAAGAACTTCCCCAAACCTCACTCAGATACAAGCATTAGTTCAAAATGGATCATCGCTTTAACTGTTCGGTGTTCACACAAAGCTCTTAGAGGAATGCATTGGAGAACATCAGGCCTGGGCTTGGTAAAAAGTCCCTGGATGGGACAATAAAAGCATGATTAACAAAAGAAAATGTAGTGAACTGGACTACCAAAATTAAAAAACATTTTCTATGAAAGTTCTTGGTAATAGGATGAAAAGACAAGTTACAGAATGACAGAAAATATTTGTCAACATATTTAAGAAAGGCCTTGTTTTAGGGTTCTCTATATGAATGGAGCCCACAGAAGGCAGATATAAGCAGAATTTATTAGATTAACTTATAAGACCAGGTAGTCCCACAATGGCCTCTGTGGCTGCAGAGTCAGAATAGCCAGCAGCTGCTGGGTGTAAGAGGCCGGAAGCCTCAAGGGAAGAGGGATGAGCACTGCAACCCCAGTCTGCAGCTGAAGGCTCCAGGAGGAGCCTCCTGGAGAGTCACTGGTCAAGTCCATGTCTTGAGACTGACATGTGTAGTTTGTTGTCCAAGGGGTTGGCACCACTGGAGAAGAACTGAGTTTGCAGAGAGTGCACTTGCTCTGCTTCCACCTTTTGTTCCGTCCAGGCCTTTAGCCTGCTGGATGGTGCCTCTCACTTGCAGTGTTTTCCTCTCTCTCAGTTTGCTGACCCGCAGGCCAGTT